AAATAATATAGAAATTATATATATATATAAGTCCAGTAATACTAATTGATTAGTCATTTATTATGTATAAAGCTTTTTCTTTTTTAAAAACAGCAAGATATATGTAAGTGAATCTTTTTATAATATACATATATTGTTATTTTTAATTGTTCTTTTCTTAATGTTTTAAAATGCTACTTTATAGCACACTGCTTCTATCTTACATAATACATAATAAATATTTTTACTTTTATTTTTTTAAATTTTTGTGTGCAATAATAAGAGAATTAGAATTAAAATTTGTGTAAAAATAATTCCATTAATATTACTTATACAAGGAATACTTTAATACAATAAAGTATGAGAAATGTCGATTTGTAATTAATTATACTTTTCATTATTTTCAGAGTAAATCAATTACCGATGCAGCATATGAATCACTTTGGTATGATTTATCGTTAAATAACAAAAAGATTATACCATTTATAATACTGAGATCTCAAAAGCAACTTGTAATCACGGCAGGAAAAATTACAAATTTATCTTTGGAAACTTTTACGAGTGTAAGATTTCTGAATAACTTTCTAAACGATTGAATAAAAATTTTAACATTTATACAATAAAAGTATATGCGCACACATATGTTTGAAAATAAATTTCCTAAATTTTTTTAGATAATAAAAGCATCAGCATCATACGTATCTATCTTACACGCGATGTATTGACGCGATTATTAACAGATAAATTTGAAGAAATGTATTATTAGTATTATGTTGTATTAGCATAAATAATATTAATATAAAGATATTATTATTAAAAATTACATTAATATTTTTTGTCTTTGGCATTTACATAATTTTTTATATTTCTAATTGAATATTACAACGTAACATTAGAGCAGTTTTCTCTAAAGATACATTTTCCTTTGAATTCAAAATAATTGCCCATATATGATTTAAGCTTCTTGCTGTAACAATATGTATGTGACGTTACATGTTTGTACACTTTAGTATTTTAAATGGATTTATTCTTGCTTTGATAATTCTTATATTTAATACATACACAACACAAAAAAACACACATACAAACAACACAAACAAAACACACAATTTTTTATTAACTTTTATATAACAATTTGTGATACAGAATTATAACTATGATTACTGTTACATTAAAATTCACGTTAAATAATTTCTAGAATTTTGTTGTATACGAATTGACTTTTACATAAGAAGTGTTAAAATATGACACAGATGTTTTAACATTTTTTTCTGAAATACGATAATACATATTCAAAAAATTTTTTCGCTTTGAATACAATGTCGTTATTAGAATTTGTGTAGCGCTTTAAGATTTTGAGTAAATTGAGGTGAAATTGCTCAATCTTGATATTTTTAGGTACTTTTAACATTTTTTTCTGGCAAAAAAAAAACTTGTTTTTTAATGAGTTGTCGGTATCTAAAGGCAATTTATAAGCCTCCAGATAAATTTTAGTTTATGATCATGTGATTTATTTTTACGTTATGGCTGTTTGAATTTTTTGACTTTCTATATGATTCTATATGATTCATAGTACAAGAAAGAAAAATATATACTTAAATATGCCACAGCAAATAAATAATTCTAATTACAATTGTAATTGGAATTATAATAAATAACTATAATAAATTTATACATAAATACCTAGACAAATAAAAAATTATAAGAATTGTTTAATTATAAAGTGCTTTGAAGTCTATAATACCGTCATTTATTAAATTGACAATTTTGCGTAATAAAGTGTATGTATAAAAAAGAAAGAGAAAAAAATGCAATAGGGAGTTTTTGCAATAACGTGAATTCAGATACGGTGTACGCTAAAGTCATGTTATCCTTTTTTTATAATTAGTTATTAAGAAGAAGATAACTTGACTTTAGCGTTCACCATGATAAACGGTATTGCAAAAACCCATAAAAACCTTTAAAAGTTCTTTATTAAATATCGACGGTATTAAATATCGAAACTTTATTCTAGTAGGTCTGAGCATGAGCAGTTTATGTCGGTATATCTATTCGTTTGTGTTTGTAAAGTCGTACTTCTACATTATAATATGTCCAGTTTATTTAAAATTTTTTCAGCTTCCTTTGTAAATATATTCTAAGAAAATGCATTATTTACGTTAGTAGAAGGAATTATACCCATCATTATGATGTTACAGTTTAATGCATCAGAAGAACATATAACGACTTTTTCTCTCTTGGCTCTTTAAAAATTCATGATCAATGTCACGAATACAATTAATTTCCATTATCGAGAAAACCTAATATGTAATTATGAACTTTCAGTTGTTCTATGTTCAATAGTAATGGCAATATTTAGAAAATAATGTACATCCATTTTTTTTGTTAATGACATTGTATCAGCGAAAAAAAATAATTCAATGCACAATACTTCTTATTACTTCATAGTCAAGGTATGTATTATAAAACTGTAAGTGGAATATAAAATGGTTGTAAGATAATCTTATAAATTGCTTCTTCGAATTGATGTTACACTACACAATGTATAATAGTAACTGATTCATATTCATATGAGTGGGGGTATATGCGTGCGCATGGGGACACTCTTGGAAAAATTGTTAGTATCATATCAGTTCTTTCTCATAGTCACAGCGGATAAATGTGTAATCTTCATCCTCGCTTTCTTCAATTTATTTATGAATGATAGCCAAAAATATCTCTGATAAAGACAGTTTGGCTCCGAAAATCGACTTTCGGTTGCTTAATGTATGGCCGGATGTGTCGCATTCCATCTTTCATTGACTGATTTTTATATTGAGTATATATATATATATATATATATATATATATATATAATTATTGTATAGTATTTTCATTATTTACACATACTTAAACACTTCAAGATCAGCGAGCTTTCGAATCTTGTCGATGATTTGTCTTTAACTTAGGTTACAATTTAACAAATTGGCCAATCTATGGTTATACCTACATATTGTCGATAAGATATCACGTAGTGTATGTAATATTAACTTTATTTAAAATCGTCGAATTTATGTATAGATTGCGAAAAATTAGAATTTATAAGTTTGATAATGATAACCAGACTTTTTTTCTAATGAAAAATACATCAATATCACACTTAAATCATTAGTATATATATTGGTTTCGCATAAAATGTTTTTTTATTTGTTACTTGACAAATTAATAACATATTGCAGAGTTTTTCATAAAATTTTGGCTGCTATGGATAGTGACTGGCACAAGTGCATCAATATCAATCAACATTTATAGTGTTATCGCGGCAAGTTCAGTAATTTATTTCTTAGGTGATTACATAAACCAGGTGATTTTATATTTTTAACCAATGATTACAACGTAATTTTACAACAACTTCTATAAAGATACAACTTTTTTTTGAAACTCAACAATCGCCAACAACGATGTTTGAATTTCTCATTGCAACAATATTTTTATGTATATTATTATGGATTCGCGCATTGTATTCTAAATGGAGTAATTTCTAAATGGATTTTTAAACGGAGGTAACTCTTATATTTTGAATCTATATTTTTATATTTTTGTTAATTTCCTAGTAAATACAAATATTACAATTTCACATGCAACAGTGTAACTGTTATGTATGACCAGAAAATGGAAGTAATTAATTAATAACGAAGTTATAAGTTATTTTATTGATGACTTTACTAGTAATTGCGTACTTTTTTTTTGGTAACTGTAACGGTAACGTAGTTAGACTTTTTTGGTAACGATAACAAATTTTATTTTTACTTTTAAAAATCAATACAGTAACGGTAACTTGTTATTTTTTCTACTCGGTAATGAGTAACTGTAACTTATTACTTTTAAAAAATAACTTTCTATTTCCTGTATACAATACATGATACGGCGTTATGTTTATATTGTTGAATGTGAAATTTATGTGACATTAATGTTAATACTATTAATTAGTATTTAGTAAATTTTATGTAACAGAATAATTTATAACATTTTAACAAGATTATAATTATGGATACTTATCAAATTAAATTTTTTCATTGAAATAATTTACAGTGCAATTTTTTTATATATAAATTATTACATTTTTGCGTAAGAAATTATTAAAATATAATTAACGTTTGTATAAAAAAAAATCAAATAATTTAATTTACTCAATAAAAATTTATATAATATATTATCATTATTTATTATATTTGAAACACATTGCTTACAATAATAACATTCTCAAATAATTACAATTTTCGCAAAAACGTAAGCATATATTTTAGCATTCGTAAGCAGACACGTAAGTGGACACGTAAGCAAATATAATGTGTTATTAGTTAATTATACTACAAATTATATTACAAAATATCTTTAAGAATGCTTTTCTTCCACCGTGTCTATATTTGAAATGTTAGTCGAGATATACCATAGAATTATTTCATTTTCCAAGAAAATCGAGAAACTCTTTTTCTTTATTGCGTTAATGAAAATTATTTAAAATACATTATTCATTTTTTAAATAAGATTTTTGGTCTGGGATTTTTTATCGTAATTATAAATTGTGTAATAAATGTGCGTTGATTAGTATCCTATATGTTATTTATTTTTCGTTTTATTGTTTATTGTATTAGGCTATTCATAATAAAACTGGTGTTTTCGTATTAGCGAAAATCGTTCATGCTTATATCGCTGTAACTTGCTTATATGGCTAAAACTTCCATCATTTGTTTTGCCGGGGAACATCTTAGTTTTAAAATAAGTATTTATGTAAATATATAAAAAAACAGTAAATCATAAATATAAAAATGTTTTTACATTTATATGTAGTTATATAGCCATAATAAAATACATGGCTATGGTGAAATACTGATGAAATACATGGAGTTATGATGAAATACTTTTTTTGAAATATTTTAATATACTGTACAAAACATATTATTTAAAACAACTAATATTTTAAGTAAGAATGTTTTTATTCTTAAACAATTATTATTTCATAAAAATAATTCATAGATATGTTATATACTTTTAAATATAATGTTGACATCTCTACTGTAACAAAAGGTTGATAAAATTTTAATAAAATTTATTTATATTTTATTATGTGATTTCTAAAGACAGAAATGTGTAGATAAATATATAAAATATTTTATATTGAAATATTTTAAATTTTATTTTCTTCTTCTCAAGTACTATTAACTTTACAGAAAAAGAGCTAACAGCAAAAGACAAAAATTGTTTATTTTCTTTTTATGAGAATTTTTTCAAAATTTTTTACTACCGTTTATTTTCTCATGTTGGTAAAAATAGCCATACATAAGAAAATACAGTATAAAAAGTTGATAAAAAATTCTAAAAAAATTCTTAAAGCTTTAAAAAGAAGAAAATAAACGATTTTTATCTCTATTTTTCTGTAAAATTGATAGTACTTGAGCAAACAATTATTAAAGATCAATATTCGATTGATTTTTAGTAATTAATTGTTAATTATTGCAAAAATTGCAAAATAGTAGAGGACTTTTCGACTCAGTTTAGTCCGCTATATAAGTACGAAATATTTGGCGGTTATTCTGAACACCCTGCTGGGCATCTGTCATAAATGCTTTATATTAACTTAAACAAAATTGCGATGGTCATTTATTGAAATAATAATGAAATTAATATAAGCCAATAAATATAAAATATTGTTAAGTAATTTAGATTTAAGTTGTTATTAATAGATATTTTCTCTTATTTGTTAATTATCAGAGTAAATTAATTACTTAAATTTAAAATAATCTTTAATATAAAGCAATCAATGTAAAATTAAATAATTTTTGCTGATTTATATTATTATCATTATGTTATATATATTGTATTTTTATTTAAAAGAATATTTACAAAAATCATTGGATGTACTCGCTATTGACTCTCTATTAGAAAATTGTGTATTCAGTACATATAGGCATATTTGAAACTAAATGAACGTCTCCAATTGAATAATTTTGAAATATCTTCCTCAAGCGAGGATGCATAATAACATGTTTCCTAAAATCATTAAGGGATATTACTTGTTATATCGACCCTATTCTGTTGTTCTCCCCTCATATTATTTTTTTAAAGACCAGAAGTGAATTGTACGAACATAATTTAGTTCCGTTCACTTAGAATACAGAACATATAATTACTGTTGTTTTGCTATAAGTTTAATTTTGCTACGTATGTACGTATTAATGGACATATATTTGTCGATGGATTCACGTTGCTAAGATACAAGATCGTAAAAAGAATGGAACTGATAATTATATGAATTGAGTAATACACATTTAGCGATTACATCCGACGTCTTTGTTTCTTTATGAATATTAGATTACGTTCTTAGACTTAACAGAAAATTATAAGATGTCCATACAAATAATGAGGCTCTATCTCGATTTGCTGTTATATGCAATACATAATCGCGATTGATCCATATTTAACATATGCGAGTGGGGATTGACTGCGTAAGATTGAAGAAATTGTCAGTTCTTTTTTAGTTTTTTCTTAAACTAGTGAATAAACGCCGACACTAATCTTTATTTCCTCGTGTTCTCAATACTGATTACGAATGATAGTTACAAGTACTGTCAGTCCAGTGCTGAAGATCGGTCTTCAGATGTTTGGTGTGTGGCCGGGCGAGCATTGGATCCCATATTGGCTAATTTATATATTTAGCATACTGATTGTACAGTACTTCCAATATCGATATGTATTCGAGCACTTCAAGATCAGCGAGCTTTCGAATCTCGTCGATAGCTTACCTGCGGCTTTAGATTACAGCTTAACAATTCTTAAAGTAATCAGTCTTTGGATACATCGTCGGTAAGAAGTGTCGCAAATGTTATCTTCTTCCGTTTAGTTAGAAACATAAAACTATTAGTTATTATTACTATATGCATAAAAAATTATTATTTGAATTAAGTAAATTTAATAATTTAATTTTTAATTTCTTAAATCATATAATATTTTTATTAATTTAAGATTTGAATATATTATTGTTATAGTAAATATTCATTTAAATCGAATAATATGTTATTCTTATGCATTAGTTTCTTATTATACATTATATATATATATATATTATCGGTTAGATCTTATATGAAAGAAAACATATCTTATAATCGATCCAATTAGAATAATACATTATACAGAGTTATTCATCAGCTTCTAACCGCTATGGATAAAGACTGGCGAGAGTGCGTCAATATTGATCACCATTTGTATGTAATGACAATCAAAGCCAATACATCGCATTTTTGTTCTAATATTATGTTTAGTATTAATACAATTGCTGCGATGTCTTATCTCTTAAGCGGTTACGTAATTCGTTTTGTTTATATGTCTGGAGATTACAATAATGATACCTTGCGACAATTACCCATCAAGGTACAATTTCCTTTTGAAACTCAACAATCACCAATTTTTGAGCTGTTGGTCGTAATTTTATTTCTACATGTGATGTTAAATTCGTGCACGCTCTCTATTATAAACGCATTAATTTCTACTCTAGTAAGTTTTTATAAATATTATTTTATTTTAAAAAATGTTGTTTATTAATTAAGACTGATATTAGTATTGACATAAAGAATAAAATTTAATTATTGAAATTACACTTTTCTTGATGTATAAGATTTAGTTATATATACGAATTTTATAACACTCGTTATACAGGTTACGTTATACAAACTTAATTGATATAATTAAGATTTTATATCACTGTTAAATAAATGTAATAATTAGTTAATTCAATATTACTTATAAGCAATCTGCGTGTTAAATTCTGTTTTTTTTTTACACTGAGTAGCTGTTTAAAAAAATATTTCTAATGTTGGAACATTTATAGAAATTTAAGTGTACGTATATTTTTTTTAGGTGTTTCACGTAAGTGGACAAATCGATATATTATGTCAAGAATTTAAAAATCTTTCAGCAAAAATTCTTCTTCATAAAACTTTTACATCTACATTAGCTATATTGATTGAAAGACACAACAGAATTTTTTTATTTTCTGACAAAATTGAGAAACTTTTCTCTTTTATTGCATTAATGCAAGTTATTTGGAATACTTTTATCATATGCAGTTTAGGATTTATTATCATAATTGTGAGTACTGCATTAAATGTTTTATGATCATCATTATAGTTAATTTATTTTATTGTTTACCGAAATAGTCACTTTATGTTGAGACTGGTGTTATTACAATAATAAAAACTATTTTCACTTATCTTGCTGTGATAGTGGAAGTTTTCATCTTATGCTTTGCAGGAGAATATCTAAATTTCAAGGTAAGCATGTGGAAATTATCTGCAAGTATGATATATTTAATTTAATATGATTATACATAAATATTTATTAAATAAAGATATGTAATGTGTACAAGAAGTGTATCTTAATTTATATTTAAATTTAAATTGTGCATCTAACAAAGCGAGCCTAAGTACGATGCATCACGTCGTGTTTTGGAATGTATACTTCTTTGAAAAAATTAGTGAGCTTATTAGCACGAAGCTAGATATGTGAGCAAAAAAGTTCATTTAGCTTCTTGTAATAATAACAGTGTAGTATTTAAAATTGCTATAATATTACATAGTAATACATCGATAATGTTGGATATATTTATTGCTGCAATTTTAAGTATAGGCAAAAATTTATCGCAGAAATATTTCTGCAATACTGTAATAATATCCAAGTAATATTAATGCTTAAAGAATGTTATGTACCTCTATCTTAATTTTTATACTGAATAATAAAAAGTTATATTGTCAAAATACATCTTAGTTAGCATAAAATAATTTTTTGGAAACAAGTCCTCAAATAAAATTTAGTCAGAAATGTATAAAGGCAACTGTTCGATATACATTAATATAACTGAAATAATTTACATTTTTAGTATTGGTAATGTATATCGGAATATTATATTCGTCACTGAATCTTATTTAAGGAGTCGTTTTCAAAAAATCATTTTAGGTAAAATCATCCGAAAATCAGTAAAAGAACATATAATGATGCACTTTTTATTCTATTCTATCTGGTTAGAGAAATTGAACTATTTTGCTTCCATCTATCGGCGATGCCGCGGTGCCGATCATAATAAAACGTTGTAGTATTTGAATGATATTGCAGAATCTAATAAAATATCACATTGTAATACACATTAGTAAAATTACTGCAATATATTGTAATATTTTACAATGCATCATTTTAGTAATATTTTTCTAATATTGCATTACAAGTTGTAATATTACTGCAATATTGTAATGTCATAATATTACTGAATATTATATACGGTATGCGGTGTGAAACGCTGATGCATAAAAATTATAAATTTTTTATCAAGAAAGAAGTAAATCCTCGGAAATATGTAGGAGAATAAAGGCGTTTGATGAGGAAATGTTGTAGAAAACAAGTATCTATAAATAAGGCTTTCAAAGAAGATTCACAACACAGAATGAAGCACATTCCTGATGCTCAAAAACATCGACAATGGCAGAGAATGTTAATCAAATTGATGAGCTTGTTCAATGCTGATCAGTGCATTACTGTGCGAGATAAAGCTTTAATTTTGAAATATTTCCGCGGGTTTTATTCCTTTTTTAATAAATTTAATTATTGCTTTGTCTCATATTTGGATGAACTTCTTCTTCACATATGATTGTCATTTCTACCAAACTTTGAACTAGCAAGTCTACAATTTTGTTTAAAAAAGTACACATTGCATACACAGAATGTTAGATACATGATGCAGACCGCATTTGCACAAGTCTCATTATTTGGGCATACAATTTAATTTAGAATTTGAATTTTTACGCCTCATAATAATAATAAATTTTTCATAATAATAAGTCTTATAATAATAACATTTTTCAAATGTAAAATAATATAAACATTAACCCAATACTATGATTATGAATTAACTATTGCATTTATTTTGAGTAAGGTTTCTTTTATTTTAAAAATAAAATACATTTTTATTATGTATATTATTATTATTATTATTAATTTTATTCTAAAAGTTTTAGAGGAATCAGAAATAGCAGAAAGAAACGAAAACGGAAAAGACAAATGATAGGAATTAACTTATCAGAACAACTTCCTTACATTGTTTTTCTTTTTATAATTGAATTTTACATGAAAAATATATTTATGGAACAGAACGCAAAATACATAACTTACGAAAAGAACGGCTACAGTTGCCATGACCAAAAGTTTCCAATACATATTTAGTTACAAGAATTATAAAACAAATATCTATGTATGGTACATCTTACGTTATTACAATCAAATGTATTGATGGGCGAAAAAGTATCATTTTTTCCAATTGTGACAATCATAACATTTTGTTCGTGTAAGATGATATATCAATCACTCAACATGATAAAGTAATAATTATTTATACAAAACATTAGGTATTTAGCAATGTTAATATCATCCCAAAGTGCAAATCTGCTTTTTATCACTGCTATCAAATCTTTGTCCAGTTATCCTTTATTATAATTTATATTTTTTATTTTATTTTCTGCAATAATTATATTTATTAATAAAAGATTTATAAAATTTATTAATAGTAAATATTTATTTAACCTATTATAAAAATATTTTCGTCGTTGTCCATATAAATTAACATCTATGTTTATATTAAATTAACATCTACGTTTGCATTGCAAGGTTGATCCATATAATTTGATACTGCTTTAAGAACCAATCATAATTATCAAAATTTAATAATATATAAATATCATTAATTGTTAAAATATTTAATATTTTGTAGATATACTACAATTAATTCTATGCTGACGGATTAATGTAACATTCTATTGTACGTCATTAAGATCTTTCTGTTCCGTAAACTTCGTATTCTCATGTGTAATCCTGTTATAAAACAATATAACGTAATTTTTCTGATTGGTTAACCCCTACCATTTGTCATTTTTGTTCTATTCCATTATTGCTGACTTTATATGACCGCATGCTTTCAATGCTATTTAGCTTCGTTGCTTTTATTTCCTAGGAGACAGTATATCTTTTTATAAATAAACTTTTTCAAATTTTTTTATTTAATTGACATAATAAAAAAATTAAGGGAACTTTGATATTTAAACAAAGAAAACTTTTATACAATATTTGTTTCAACGAGAAAGAATTATTATTAGTCATTTTTTATGTTATTATTTTCAGAGTAAATCAATCGCCAATGCAGCATATGAATCACTGTGGTATGATTTACTATCAAAACAAAAGAAAATTATAATATTCGTAATAATGAGATCTCAAAAACAAGTCATAATCACGGCAGGAAGAATCACGAGTTTATCTTTGGAAACTTTCACGAACGTAAGATTAATTGAATATTTTTTAAGTTAAATAAAGTTTTATGAATTTTTCAAGACATACATCTTAGTAAATTACTTTTTTAAATTCTTTTTAGATCTTAAAAGCGTCAGCATCATACGTATCTGTTTTACATGCAATGTATTGATGTTAACAAATAATGATTTAGTTAAAATTGTGATGTTTTTAGTATTATTAGTATAACATGTTAATATAGAGAATTATTATATTATTAAATTTCTTTCGATAAATTAATGGTGTTGAATATTTATATTATTTTAAGATTTATAGATCTTTAAATTGTGAATCTAGAAAATTTATGATGGTTTAAAATTTATATAGATTTGTAGATTGTATAATTTAGAATTAAATTAAATTAAATTTAAATATAAATGTTCGTAAGATATCTAAATATCTGCTATTTTCTTACGTTTAACCTTGCATAATAAAATATTTTCTTATTTAGAAAGAAAAAAATAAGAAATAGAAAAAAAGGAATGTATTTTTGGATAATAGAATTAAATACCGAGATTTTAGTTTAGATGAGCACGTGTAGTTTATGTCAGCACATCCGTATATTTACGTTTGTATATAATTAAACTTCTGTAATACGTCTAGGTGATTTTGAATTTTTTATGCATATTTTCTGAGAATACTTGAAAATTTTATATTTTAAAAATATATAATATTATATATTTGTAAAACATTTGATTTTTGTAAGTTATTCCAATTTTTTATTTATTTTTTTATGAGAAAAAATTTAAAAAAAGGATTTTAAAGCCGTTTGTATTATCGATTAAATTTTAATTTCTGTGTAACATTTTTTCTCTGTTACAGATTTGAAAATTCTTTTCCAGGATTAAACTATACGCATTAATACATGTCTGTGAAGTGGAGTTTATGAAAACAACTAAAAATTTTTCTTAAAATTCCAATTTAAAAATTTTTTGTCGTTTTCTCACAAACTCCATCTCACAGACCCGTATTAATGCGTATAGTTTAATTCTAGAAAAAGATTTTCGAATCTGTAAAAGAGAAAAAACGTAAGTGTTATACAAAAATTATGATTTAGTCGATAATAGTCAGACGCTTTAGGATCTCCTTAAATACTATACTTTGTACCTATCTTTGTTTAAGAGGCATGACTTTACGAGCATAGCATGGCCCACCTCACCTTAACCAATAGACGTACGACTTTCCACTGATTGAGAATTAAATTGTTATTAATAGTTGATATCTGTTATTTGTCAGTTATTAGTAAATAAATAATTAAATTAAAAATTACCTTTAACGAAAAACAACTGATATAAAAACAAATAATTTTTATTTACTTAATAATATTACGTTACGTTGCATATTTTTATTCACTAAACAATACAGACACGTACTACGTGCATGTTACAATATTTAACTTTTAATATTATATATTTATACACTTATAATAATTTAATTTTTGTGTGTGTGTGTGTGTGTGTGTGTGTGTTTTGAGTTGTCAAAACATGTGTTGAAAATTAATTTTGTAATACAAAGAAAAAAACTAACCAGAATCACGGAAAAAAGGCAACAATTCCATTATCGATTTAGTACTTAAATTTTATTGCAGGAAAAGGAATATTTCTGCGGAGAATTGGATGTTCTCGGACATTGACTTTTTATTAACAAGTAATGTATTCAGTACGTATAGACACGTATCCTGTAGGATATAGGCACATTTGAAACTAAATATTTATGACGTCTTTAATTGAACAATTTTTTTTAATTTTAAAATGTCTTGTTTAGGTGAGGATGAATCCTCGTCATGTCATTCTTAGAAGCATTAAGGGATATTTGTCATTTTGCCCTTACTCTGTTGTTCTCCCCTTACATTATTTCTTTGAAGACCAGAAATTGAACGGCATGCGTATAATTCAGTTCCATTTGCATAGAATACATAATATGTAATTATCGTCGTTCTGCTATAAGTTTAATAACTTTTGCTGTACATGTACAGAGCGTAATAAACATTCATTTATTTTTTTTTCGAAGAAGTTGCTAAGAGATAAGTTTAAAAAAAAAGGAACTGACAATTACGTATCAAATTATAAATTTAACGGATAAGTTCGATATTTTTTTTATTTTATGGATATTAGAATATCAGCGTTCTTAGACTATGAACAGAAAATTATGCCATGCCCATAAAAAAATAAGCTCTATCTTGATTTGCTGTTATATGCCATGTATAATGACAATTGATTCATACTTACGAGGGTAGGGATAAACCGCATAGAGTTGCATTTGAAAAAATCGTCAGTGCACTTTTAGTTCTTTCTTAAACCGAAGTGCCAGATAAATGTGTTGACATTGATCTTCATTTCCTTGTGTTCTTAATATTGATTACGAATGATAGTAACGAGTACTGTGAGTCCGCTGCTGAAGATCGGTCTTCGACTGCTTGGTGTGTGGCCGGGTGTGTCGTATTGTATCCCATATTGGCTAATTTATGTATTTAGCATACTGATTGTACAGTACTTCCAATATCAATACGTATTCGAGCATTTCAAGATCAGTGAGCTTTCAAATCTCGTTGATAGTCTACCCGCGGCTTTAGATTACAGTTTAACAATGATTAAAGTAATCACTCTTTGGATACATCGTCGGTAAGATGTCTAGCTGCAAACGTTAGCTTCTTCCATCTAGTTTGAGACATAAAACATATTATTTCTTAGTTATTAGTACACGCATAAAAAATTTGTTTAAATTAAGTAAATTTGATACCTTAATTTTTAATTGCTTAAATTACATAACATGTTTATTAACTAAAAATTTAAATGCATCATTATTGTTATAGTCACTATTTATTTAAATCGAGTAATATGCTATTTTTATAAATATATTAGTTTCTTATTATATATATATATTATCGGTTCAAATCATATATAAACGAAACATGTTTTATAATTAGTCCAATTAGAATAACGTATTGTACAGAGTCATTCATCAGCTTCTAACTACTATGGATAAAGACTGGCGAGAGTGCGCCAATATTAATCAACATTTGTATGTAATGACAGTCAAAGCCAATAAATCGCATTTTTGTTCTAATATTATGTTTAGCATTAATACAATTGCGACGGTATTGTACTTTTTGAGTTACGGTTACGCAGTTCGTTTTGTATATCCGTCCGGAGATTACAATAATACCTTGCGGGAGCTTCCCATTAGGGTACAATTTCCCTTTGAAACTCCACAATCACCAATTTTTGAGCTGCTGGTCGTAATTCAATTTGTACATGTGATGTTAATTGGGTGGACGCTCTTTATTATAAACGCATTAATTTCTACTCTTGTAAGTCTCACCATATAAATATTATTTTTTTAAATAAAGTTATTTAATGGCTTGACATTAGCATTGTCATAAAGAACAAAATTTAATTATTAAAATTATATTTTTCTTGACTTATATAAGATTTATTTGTACACGAATTATTATACTTGTTATACATGTTATGTTACACTTAATTTGACATAATTAAGATTTTATATTATTGTTACATAAATATAATAATTAGTTAATTGAATACTATTTATAAGCAATCTATATTTTGTATTCTGTTTTTCCTTATAACGAGTAAATGTTTACTTAAGTATTTCTAATAGTTGGAACATGTATAGAAACTTAAATATACGTATATTTGTAGGTGTTTCACGTAAGTGGACAAATCGATATTTTATGTCAAGAATTTAAAAATATTTCTACAAAAGTTCTTCCTCATAAAACTTCTGCATTGGCTATACTGATTGAAAGGCACAATAGAATTTTCTTGTTTTGTGATAAAATTGAAAAACTTTTTTCCTTTATTGCGTTAATGCAAGTTGTCTGGAATACTTTTATAATATGCAGTCTAGGATTTATTATCATAATTGTGAGTACTGCGTTAAATGTTTTGTGATTAATATTAGATTTAATTAATTTGTTCTTATTATTTATCAAAATAGTCATTTTATATTGAGACTGGTGGCATTACAATAGTAAAAATTACTTTTACCTATCTTGCTATAATAGTGGAAGTTTTTGTGTTATGCTTTGCAGGAGAATATTTGAATTTCAAGGTTAGTATAAGCATCTACAATGTGAAAATTATCTACAAATATAACATTTAATTTAATATTAGTAGTAGATAAAATATTTATTAAATAAAGACATAACATTAGTAATATATACAAGGGGTGTAGCTTAATTTGAATTTAGTTTAAATTTAAATTTAAATTATACTCGTAAATTACGAGGCAAGTATCCGAGTGCCCCGTGTATCAAGTTGTGTTCTCGAATGTACGTATTTTCTTGAAAAAATTGGTGAACTTATTAGCGCAAAATTCTATAGACATGAGCAAAGAAGTTTATTGAAGCCACATACAATTTGCAATATTGTAGTAATATTTCAAAATTGCAGTAATATTACATGCTAATCTTGCTGCTGTATAAATAATATTGCGTATAAATATTGCTGCATTATTAAATATCTGCGATAATATTTTTGCAATACTGTAATAATATTCTAGTAATATTAACGACTAAAAAATGTCATGTACTACTAATTTAATTTTTATATTAAACAACAAAAAATTATATTGTCAAAATATATTATATTTATTATAACTTAGTATAAAATGACTTTGCATTGCTTGTGCAACTCAGTTACGAAACAACGTAATGTAATTGTTCTGATTAATTAACCATTTGTTTCTTTTTGTCCCATTTCGTTATGTCTGACTTCATATTATCGTATGCTTACAATACTATTGTACAATATTTATCTTCTGATGCTTTTATCTTTTATAATAAATGAGATATTCTTATACATAAATATTTTCAAATTTGTTTACTTATTAATTTATAGTAATAAGGAAATGAAGGAAACTTTGACATTTATACAAAAAAGACTTTTTCATAATATTTGTTTCAATAAAAAGTGTTATTAACTCCTCATTCTTATATTATTAGTTTTTGTTATATTATTATTTTCAGAGTAAATCAATCGCTAATGCAGTATATGAATCACTGTGGTACGATTTACTGATAAATCAAAAGAGAACTTTAACATTCATAATAATGAGATCTCAAAAACAAATCATGATTACGGCAGGAAGAATTACGAGTTTATCTTTGGAAACTTTCACGAGCGTAAGATTAATTGGATATTTTTTTAATTAAATATAATTTTATGCCTTTTTTCAAGAAATATAATTTAGTAAATTAATTTTTGAAATTTTTTTTAGATCTTAAAAGCGTCAGCATCATACGTATCTGTTTTACATGCGATGTATTGATGTTTTAACAGATAATGATTTAGTTGAAATTGTTCTTAGTATAACATATTAATATAGAGAATTATTATATTATTAAACTATATTATTATATTATTGCTTTTGATAAATTAATAGTGTTGAGTATTTATGCTATTTTAAGATTTATAGATTTGTAGATTGTACAATATAGAATTATATTTAATTTAATTTAAATTTTAATATTCGTAAAATATCTAAATATGTTATTTTCTTATGTTTAATCTTGCATGATAAAATATTTTCTTACTTAGGAAGAAGAAAAAGAGAAATAGAAAAAAAATATCTTTTCTTTGGATCAATTGAATTAAATATATAATATAATATATATCGAGACTTTATTTTTTATCTTAGCATGTGTAGTTAAATTTATGTCAGCACATCCGTATATTTGTGTTTGCATATAATTGAACTTCTATAATATTAGTTGATTTTAATATTTTCTTTTTCATACGTTTTCCGAGAATATATATATACATACTTGAAAATTTATCTTATATTTTAAACATAAATATTTGTAACACAATTGATTTTTATAAGTTATTACGATTTTTTAATTCTTTTTTTATGAGATTTAAAATTCAAAGTTAAAGGGATCCTAAAGTCTGTATTACTAACTAAACCATATAATTGTTTGTATAACAATTACTTTTTTCTCTTTTACTGATTTGAAAATCCTTTATCAACATTAAAGTATACACATTAATACGTGATTGTAAAATGGAGTCTATTCTGAGAATTAAAAATTTTAAAATTGAGATCTTTTTTTTTATTTCTTAGTCTAATACGGCACTTCAGAGATATCATGCCGTGACAACATTTACATTATGTAAAAGATGTGCATTCTGTACTTATTAAATAGTAGTCCACAGATTAGTAGTTTGCATAAAGAAATAGCGTGTAGTTCTCAAAATTAGACTTAGACAACTAATTAAAATGTAATTGTTAAACAAAAATTTATGCGTATGTGGCATACGTGAGTGAGATAATAAAGTAGTGATGTATCGATGACACATAAATCATCTGTGCGTAAATGCTATTTACAATATACAATAACTAATTGTCTTTAGAATCCCAAATAACATTCAATAGCCGCCGCTCGTTATTTATTAAAAAGTTATTAATAAAAAAGTTAAATATAAGTTAAAAATCTTTTAATATTATTATACACTCACACATAATAATTTAATTTTTGTGAGTTGTCAAAATGTCATTGAGAGGTAATTTCGTAGAACAGAGCAAAATAAATAATTAGAATCAAAAAAGGAAAAAAGACAACAAAGTACTCGATTATTAATTTAGTGTAGCATTTAAATTTTATTATAGAAAAAATGATATTTCTGCAAAGAACGTTGGATGTTTTTGGACATTGATTCTTTATTAATACGTAATGTATTCAATTCGTATAGATATGTATTCTGTTGGATATAGACTTATTTAAAATTAAATGTTTATGAAGTCTTTAACTAAACAATTTTTTTTCAATTTTAAAATATCTTATTTAAGTGAGGATGCATAATATCATTCTTAGAAGCATTAAGGGATATTTATCATTTCACCCTTACTCTGATCTTCTTTTACATAATTTCTTCAAAGATTAGAAATTGAACTCCATGAAAATAATCAATTCCATTTGCATAGAATACATAACATGTAATTATTGCCGTTTTGCTATAACTTTAATGACTTTTGCTGTGTATGTACAGAACGTAGTGGACATTTCTTTATTTTTCGAAGGAGTATTGCTAAGAGACAAGTTCGTAGAAAACAAGGAACTGACAATTACGCATCGAATTATAAATTTAGCGGATAAGTCCGATATTTTTTTTATTTTATGTGGATATTAGAATATCAGCATTCTTAGATTATGAACAGAAAATGATACGATGGCCATAAAAAAATGAGCTCTATCTTGATTTGCTGTTATATGCCATATATAATGACGATTGATTCATACTTACAAGGGTAGGGATAGACTGCATGGGGTAGCATTTGAAAAAACCGTCATTGCTCTTTCAGTTCTTTCTTAAACCGGAGTGCCAGATAAATGTACCGACATTGATCTTCATTTCTTCGTGTCCTCAATACTGATTACGAATGATAGTAACGAGTACTGTGAGTCCGCTGCTGAAGATCGGTCTTCGACTGCTTGGTGTGTGGCCTGGTGTGTCGTATTGCATTCCATATTGGCTAATTTATGTATTTAGCATACTGATTGTACAGTACTTCCAATATCAATACGTGTTCGAGCACTTCAAGATCAGCGAGCTTTCGAATCTCGTCGATAGTTTACCCGCGGCTTTAGATTACAGTTTAACAATGATTAAAGTAATCACTCTTTGGATACATCGTCGGTAAGATGTGTAGCTGCAAACTGTGTGCAAATGTGTTAGCTTCTTCCATCTAGTAAATTTGATAACTAGGTTTTTAATTTCTCTAAAATCATATAATATATCTATTAACTTAGAATTTAAATACATTATTATTATTACAGTTAATATTTAACCGAGTAATATGCTATTTTTATGAATGTATTAGTTTCTTATTATACATATATATTATCAGTTAGATGTTATATAAATGAAATGTGTCTTATAATCGGTCCAATTAGAATAACGCATTATACAGAATCATTCATCAGCTTCTAACTACTATGGATAAAGACTGGCGAGAGTGCGTCAATATCGATCAACATTTGTATGTAATGACAATCAAAGCTAATACATCGCATTTTTGTTCTAATATTATGTTTAGTATTAATACAATTGCTACGGTGTTGTACTTTTTGAGTTACGGATACGCAGTTCGTTTTGTATATCCGACCGGAAATTACAATAACACCTTGCGGGAGCTTCCCATTAGAGTACAATTTCCTTTTGAAACTCCACATTCACCAATTTTTGAGCTGTTGGTCATAATTCAATTTCTACATGTGATGTTAAATGCATGGACGCTTTTTATTCTAAATGCATTAATTTCTGCTCTTGTAAGTCTCACCATATATAAATATTATTTTTTTAAAACAAAGTTGTTTAATGGCTTGTGACATCAGTATTGACATAAAGAACAAAATTTAATTATTAAAATTATATTTTTTTGATTTATATATAAGATTTACATGAATTTGTACACGAATTACTACACTCGTTATACATGTTACATTATACAAACTTAATTTAATCAAAATTTTATATCACTGTTAAGTAAAAGGTAATAATTAGATAATTGAATACTACTTATAAGCAATCTATATTTTATATTCTGTTTTGCTTTATAACGAGTAACTGTTTGCATAAGTATTTTTAATAGTTGGAACATGTATAGAAATTTAAGTATACGTATATTTGTAGGTGTTCCATGTAAGTGGACAAATCGATATATTATGTCAAGAATTTAAAAATATTTCTACAAAAGTTCTTCCTCATAAAACTTCTACATCTGCATTAGCTATACTGATTGAAAGGCACAACAGAATCTTTTTCTTTTCTGACAAAATTGAGAAACTTTTTTCTTTTATTGCGTTAATGCAAGTTGTTTGGAATACTTTTATAATATGCAGTCTAGGATTTATTATCATAATTGTAAGTACTGCATTAAGTATCTTGTAATCAATATTAAAGTTAATTAATTTGATCTTGTTTATCGAAATAGTCATTTTATATTGACACTGGTGGTATTACAATAGTAAAAATTACTTTCACTTATCTTGCCGTGGTAGTGGAAGTTTTCATCTTATGCTTTGCAGGAGAATATTTAAATTTCAAGGTTAGTAAGTATGTGGAAATTATCTGCAAGTATGACATATTTAATTTAATTATATATATATATATATATATATATATATATAATTATATATATATGTAGATAAAGTATTTATTAAATAAAGACATAACGCCAATGTGTACGAAGTATGTTAATTTAAATTCAATTTAAATTTAAATTTTAATTATGTTCTTAAATTATGAGGCAAATGCCCGAGTGCGTATTACGTCGTGTTCTGTAATGTATAATATGTATTTTCTTGAAAAATTGGTGGTTAATAATGTTGCGTATAAATATTACTGCATTATTAATTATCTGCAAAAATTTATTGCAGAAATATTTGTGCAATACTTTGATAATATTCTAGTAATATTAATGGCTACAAAATGTCATGTACTACTAATTTAATTTTTATACATAATAACTTTAATACTTAAAATAATTTTATACTTAATAACAAAAAATTATATTGTCAAAATACATCTTATTTAAGTTAGTTATGAAATAATGTTTACATTTCACATGTATAACTCAGTTACGAAACGATGTAACTTAGTTATTTTTTTAATTGGTTTACTTATCATTTTTCTTTTTTTGTTTTATTTCGTTATATCTAACTTTATGTTATCGTATGCTTACAGTGCTACTTAGCTTTATTGCTTTTATTTTATAATAAACGGTATATCTTTCTTATATATAAACTTTTTTCAAATTTCTTTAATTTACAAATTACTTTTTAATTTACAAAAATAAAAAATGTAGGAAACTTTAACATTTATACAAAGAAAACTTTTTCATAATATTTGTTTTAATAAGGAAAAATTATTAACAATATTAGTTATTTTTATATTATTATTTTAAGAGTAAATCAATCGCTAATGCAGTATATGAGTCGCTGTGGTACGATTTACTGACAAATCAAAAGAGGACTTTAACATTCATAATAATGAGATCTCAAAAACAAGTCATGATCACGGCAGGGAGAATCACGAACTTATCGTTGGAAACTTTCACGAGCGTAAGTTTAGAAAACATTTTTTTGATAGTTAAATAAAATTGTATGCACTTTCTGAAAAATACACATTTCTAAATTAATTTTTAAAATTTCTTTTAGATCTTAAAAGCATCAGTATCATACGTATCTGTTTTACATGCAATGTATTGATGTTAACAATTAGTGATTTAGTTGAAATCACGATGTTATTATTATTATTAGTATAACATGTCAATTTACACAATTATATTATTAAATAACTTTCGATAAATTAATAGTGTTAAGAATTTATGCTGCTTTAATATTTATATATCTATAGATTGTGCAATCTAGAATATTTATGATGGTTTAAGATTTATAGATTGTACAATCTAAAATTATATTTAATTTAATTTAAATTTAAATATTCGTATCTGTTTTTTTTTATGTATAACCTTATATGTTAAAATATTTTTTTACTCAGAACGAAGAAAAAAAGAAATAGAAAAAAAGGAATGTACCTTTCCATTGTGTCCAATATCGAGACTTTATTTTAGATCTAGAGCACGTGTAGTTTATGTTAGCATATTCGTATGTTTATATTTGTATATAATTCAAAGTTAATCATTCTTGTAAATATTTTTACACAAAGTACCGTTGTATAAAAATTTTCGTTAAAATGAATAACTGGGATAAATAGAAAGATTTTATCTTTCTATTTATCCCAGTTATTCATTTTGA